CCATATTAGAAACTTTTTCAGTGGCTTCTCAAAAAGAAAAAAATTCTTGATAAAAGTTGCTGCATCCCCAAACTAGAAGAGCAGTTATTTTTTTTAATATACAATAACATTTTTCAGTTAAATTTTTTGAGAAATCAGAAAAAATTGTCTGGATTACGAATTAAGTCATTCACAATACAAATAAAAATATTACAAAAGAGTATTAGAAATATTTAAAAAATTACTCACGCTGTTTATACTGTTTCAAAAACGCTTCTGAAATGGAAATTATCTAAAGTTGAGAGCATTATGAGAACAATATGGTAATAAAATTATTATGTTACTCAAACATTTCTGAAAATATACTGAAACGTAAAACAAAAATATCGAGTGCATAAATGGAACATCAAAAGAATGTTACTGAAACCAATTTTTTGAAACGTTTAATTGGAAACGTATTTTGAGGAGGACATCTTCGGTTTCTATTGGGTTACCAGAACGTTGCATGGATTTTTTATGAAACGTTTCAAGAAAAATGGAAACGTTTCTGGAACATGTCGGAAACTGAAAAATGTTTAGTGGGAAACTACTTATATGTATATTTGTATAAATTTTTCTACGTTTCTGATTTAACCTATTTGGGAAAAAAACAGTGTGTGGCTGTTCGTAGGTTCCCATTTTGGCTTTGCTATTTCATCCCATTTACAACTCCGACATCCCACATCCCCCCAACACCAACATATACTTATACGCCGACGACCTGACAATCACATCCCAATCCGTAGATCCTAGATATTCCGTCTCCCTCCTCCAAAACTCCTTAGACCAACTTGAAACCTGGTGCAACAGGTGGAAAGTCAAAATTAATCCCAACAAAAGTTCGGCTATCCTTTTTACCAAACGAAAAATCCCACAAAACCTCGACAGACTGACACTATCCCAGGAACCTATCTCCTGGAATCGACAAACACGATACCTGGGCGTGACGATGGACCAGCGTCTCACGTGGAAACCGCACATCGTGGAGACGGTGGCGCGAGCGAAGACCACCAGGGCTAGGCTCTATCCCTTACTCAAAGGTGGAAACACCCTCAGTTTAAGGAATAAGCGAACGCTTATCAAGGTGGTACTTCAACCGCAGCTAACCTACGCCTCCACGGCGTGGGGTCACGCGGCAAAAAGCCACTTAAAGTCATTACAGGCTGTGGAAAACATAGCCCTCCGCACGGCCACCGACGCGCCCTGGTACGTAAGAAACACTGACATATTACGAGACTTACAATACACAAACGCTACACAGACAATAAGACAAAACGCGGAGAAACGATTTGACGTAGCCGCTAGACATGACAATCCCCTCCTCAGGCAA